AAAAAAATGTTATCAAAAAAAAGATGTGTCCTTGTAATTTTTAGAAGATGCCCGTCACGTATTTGCTTCTGATGGGCGGCAACCATTTATAGTCCCCTTGCAAGAAACAACTCAACGATATCGCGAAATGAAGGGAATGAATCCGGGATTGGGAAATTTGTTGGTTTAGCCCAGCAATCTTTATTTTTCTCTTTTCAAAAAATTTGCAGAAATGGCGATGAATGGTATCGATTGCGATCTTCTATTCAGCAAGTGATGATGAGACCACAGGCTGTACAGAAGTGAGAATCGCTACTAAATTGACTGTTACAGTAAACCTACCGTCAGGTATCTACCGTACACCAACGAGGTAGCTGCGGCTTTGGTAGATCATATCAAAAATGAAATGCTGAAGGGGGATGGAGAGGTGGACATGAGAAAAGTAGCTGGGAGGTGAAGTCTTTATAAAAAAATTCATTTTCTCAAAGTTATCTGGCCCTTGCAGATGGGCCCTCGAATCAGCTGCTCTGACAGTTTTCGAAAAACGTCTTGGAGCTCTTGGAAATCGTACCGAATGGGCAGATATGCTCGTTAATCTCAACAAGGAAATCTTCCAGCTATCCGCACAGTAAGCCATTTTACAGGGACGCAGAGCAGGACTCTGCTCATCTGGGCTTTGATCTCTTTTTACTCGTAGATTTGCTTTAAAGAGGTGTCCAAAGGATTATCTACTATGGCTTTTCAAGTTTCTCAACCTTCAAGTTTTACCAATTGCCCATTAAACTTCGCAGATTTCTAAAGTGCAAGGCAAGTATGTTAGGAGCGAGATGGGCATAAATCATTTTTGAATTTGAGCGAAAGAGTAAGTGGGCGTGTCGTGTACCAGTCAGTAATGGTCCGATTTGCACTGAATATTCTTGAAAAGTCCAGCAAATGATTTGGAGTATTTTTTCAGGCTCAAGTTCGCTCTTCCCGTATATAAGTATTTCGATACACCAAAATGGAAAAAGATGGTAAAATTGGAGGACCAGTTCTACAAGTAAAATAATCTGAAAG